CAGACCTAATCACAGTATATTGCTCCCTTATACGATCAGTAATTGAATACGCCTCGGCTGTATTCGCGAATCTGCCAAAGTATCTGTCTGATGCGTTGGAGGGAATTCAAAAGCGCGCCTCTTCCGAATGTACATTATGACGAGGCATTGATACTAAGTGACCTGCCGTCTTTAGAAGACCGTAGGGCTGCTGCTTGCGAATCATTTATGCGTAATTTAAAACCATCCAACCCTGTGTTTGGCCTTGCCATGAGTGGAAGGGTAACTACCGTTCACTCGTACTCGTTACGAANAGCACATGGCCTAAGCGCGCAAAATACGTGGATGATCTGACGATTGTAGAAATCATCCCTAGGAACTCTCCATCATATTTGAATTGCATTGTGGATGATATCCAGTGCTTTTCTCACCACAACAACATGCGCCTTAATCCAGCTAAATGTAAAGACGATTGACTTTCTTGATTATAATAGTTGCACTTGGCGCCCCATCTGTACAGGCGGAGTTATTATCGAGCGCGTCAAATCCTTTAAACTTCTCGGAGTTATATTTCTGATGGTTTGAATTGGGGTGTTCACTGTGACTAAATAATCAAAAAAGCCAATCGCCGCCTTTATGCACTTAGAACTCTAAAGAAGTGCGGCGTGCCGACATCAGACCTAATCACAGTATATTGCTCCCTTATACGATCAGTAATTGAATACGCCTCGGCTGTATTCGCGAATCTGCCAAAGTATCTGTCTGATGCGTTGGAGGGAATTCAAAAGCGCGCCTCTTCCGAATGTACATTATGACGAGGCATTGATACTAAGTGACCTGCCGTCTTTAGAAGACCGTAGGGCTGCTGCTTGCGAATCATTTATGCGTAATTTAAAACCATCCAACCCTGTGTTTGGCCTTGCCATGAGTGGAAGGGTAACTACCGTTCACTCGTACTCGTTACGAAGCTGCCGAAACTATAATAACAAAATGTGTTAGACAAAAAGATTGTCAGAATTTGTATCTTTAAAATATTTAGATTTTTTGTCATAAGTTAAATGTTAATTATGTGTAATTTGCGCACGATCCTGTTATCCAGCTCTTAGTTGCAAGGGGTTCTGGATAAACAACTCTATTCTCTATATTCTATTCTATCGCTCTGTTTATTGTACCATATGTTGGGTCACTAACATAAGCTCCTCATGCATTTTTCTTTCTAACTTTGATCCTCTCTTTATGAAACTAATACCCACCCGACATGCATTTACTGCATTTAATGCTTGCGCGCAATGCAAACTTAAGGTTACAGGAGCAACTAGTTGGGAACCATACAATTAAATCATGCAAATCATACAGGTATGACAGAAAAAACTTTATTTGCCCCCGATTTTTAAGGGTAGGTATAAAACAATAATATCCGTACCAATCCGTGAGTTGTGTTAATTAGAAACCTGAATTTGGAGCATTTTCAGTATATTACGATGGTTCACGTTGCTGTGTGATTTTCCTATCATTTTATCGTTTACCCGCATGAGAATCTCTTATTTTAGGTTTTTGAGGTAAGTCTTTTCTTAACTGCTGCTCTCATGCACTGTAAATGTTTGAGGGCCTCAGAATCAATAATCGAAAAGTATGCTATTAGGCTTGCTGGTCAAATTAAGATAAGATTGCTATTATCGCTAGCCTATTCAAATGCTCAATCGATTATTTGCCTATTAGAAATTTTATCAGTAATTGCAGAGTGTTTCTATCGCTTCTATTTCAGAGATCTAGATTTCCTTCCTAGAATGATTCTCTGCCAAATATATGTGTTACATCCAGCCAGAAGTGATAATTTTAACCATTAGCAAATAGTTTCACAAGGTGTAAATGCTGCTGCAGTGTTTTCTGAAATAATGAATAAATGCTCAATTTGGAAAATGAACTAGAAAGGGGGAGCAACCTTCAATAGTTACGTTACGTAGTTAAGTTTCGAATCATTTACTTTCATGATTATCTACTTGGATAAAATGTTTTGTCCCTTGGAAACACTTAAAGCGGATACAATATGGATCATGATCAACATCAAAATTCGAAATCATTTTAGATGTTGTTGTTATTGTGCGTTAGAGAATCTGTTTTTGGTCAAATCTTCATTTGCTGCATTTCGAACTTTTCATACTTTTTGGACGGAGGCCCTCAAACACCCTGCTCGATCTTGACAATTCTTCACATCCTATACTCAGTCTCATTCAATAATTGTTTTATTACTCATTCAAAATATTTTCAAAACTTTTAAAGGAGAAGTAGTATTTTGGCAAAACAGTCGCCAATTCCTCTGCTGTTGTAAGACTTTAGATTCCCGTCGCGTGAGGAGACGTTTCAAAAAGCAAGCGACTTGTCTTTTTCGATTTTTTTAGTGTTTTTGCTATTTTTATCATCGAGTAAATGGGCAGTTTCTTCCTCGTTAATCGATTCAAAATCTACTGTTTGCCATTTTCGCGCTCTCAAGCTCTATATACATAGGCCGCGCCTGGAAACGAACGCGCCTGGAAACGAATTGCAACCTCGTTTCAAAATCAATTATAACACCGATCAACCTCGTCAATATACCTTCGAATCGAGGATACATTGCTCGTATCTTCCAAATTTGGTCAAAGCCAGAAGATTATAGAGAATTAGCCGGGGGATTTGAGCCAACCAGAAGCGGTGAAATATTATGAATTAATAATAATTTTGTTATCTACGCAGGCTGTTCCTGTATAACACTGAAACATTAGAAGTAGCTATTAATAACGCGAGGGGAAAAAGAAAAAACGAAACAAAGCCAAAAAAATATATATAATAGAAATAGAAATGGAACTAAATAAATAAATAAATAATGTCTTGTTAGTTTGTATTTATTTAGTTTAAAAAATTCTTTGACTTTAAGTTTTGATAAAATTGACCTGTTGCAAATCTTCACTTTTCTTGAGGTCACATCACTACGAAGCTCATAAATGTGTACTGAATGGTGCTTGTTGTAATAAAAATACAAAAAATGTCAATACCTAAGTTAACAATTGTTAGGGATGGTGAAAGTGTTACTAAAAATCAATTCTTCGCCTTGTGAGATCAAATTCAGTCTTCCCTGAAAAATATTTGAACAGTCAAATGCCAACATTTTCTGGTTGCATTTCTTCCTTGATGCACGGTTTTTGAACAACAATACAAGTTTACCTATAATCGGATTGTACATCGCCATAGCTTTAATATTTGCGAAATATATATTTGTTTATTCACGCCTCAACGTAATTATTGTTTGCGCGACAATATTAGTAACCGCCGTTACAGAAGATATACAATCAAAGAATTCAAAATGGCAACGAAACTAAGCAGCGGGTCTTGCAAAGAGGCAAGAGACTATGAGAAGTACTTTGATTCACTGCGGTTATACTGAATAGAAAATGGCATTCCTTCCTTTTGTGATAAGAGATATCTGAATACGATTCAAAGGATTAAGAAACATTCAATAAACGTATAACACCTCCTCATTAAGCGGAAAGAAAAAAATTCTTAATTGAAATTGCGGTTGTATACAGATGTAATACCAAGAAATCTTCAAAACATCATATTGCGTATCGCATGTAATAGGCGTGTGTCGATGAAAAGTATGTTTCATAATTTTTTTGCAACTGATTGCTTTTTCTTTAAAAGGAAAAAGAAAAAAAAACCCTGTTCCAGTCGAGTTGGCTTAGACAGCTGACGCTCATTTCAATAACAAAACCATTTTAAAATATTACTTTTAATATCTAGTAGTGGGAGAAAAACTCAGTCATATATTAACTGAAACTACCAGAGACGTTCCTGTTCCAGTCGAGTTGGCTTAGACAGCTGACGCTCATTTCAATAACAAAACCATTTTAAAATATTACTTTTAATATCTAGTAGTGGGAGAAAAACTCAGTCATATATTAACTGAAACTACCAGAGACGTAATAACACAGTTTTCAAAAGCCTCTATATCATTTATTGTGAAATGGTTGCACCCTACCTAATAAGTATTTTTTTTGGTAAAAGCTAGTTTGTTAAGAAAATACTTGGCTATTACAAATTGTTTGGAACTGGTGGTCAATTAACATTAACAAGATGCTGCGGCAATTTTCGGTAAAAGAGATTGTTCCTCTTAACGATATCTCTAGATATAACGTTGCTTTCATCCTGATTGTTTTGCTCAATGATGCTTTTAATATCGCCAAATGAAAACCACTTTAAAAAAGTTTTCAAAGCATCCCTTCCTTTCTTTATTACGAGCGAAAGGAAATAATCTTTTTGACGACCGTTTCACCTGCCGTTTTGCGTTCAAATCGCATTTTGCTGTTTTAATCGTTCGATGTTTAATTTTTACTTTGGCGTCAAAACGTCTATCAAATTTGGACGGAAAACAAACGCTTTCTTTGATATTAATTTCCTTTCTGCATTGCTGTTTTTTGCAATCGAATAAATTTGAAAGTTTCCTATAGTGTTTCTCAAATTAACGACGAGTGCCTTCGGAAAAAGACTTTTTATATTTTGTTGTGGAAGATCTGAATTGCGATTCTCTTTATTCGCTTCTGGCCTAATTTCGACACTGAGGGTAATGGCAGGTGGCGAGGAGCGGATAAGATGGATTACCTCCTTGAGAATAGGCCATAGATGTCTTCACAACTCTTAAGATAAGAGTTAACATAAAAGGGTAGAAATTACCGCCTGCTGTGAATTTGTCCGTCGAACTTATGAACCCTCGAGGATTTCTGTCGTCATTTCGGCTACCATACACACTTTCATCGCAAAGTACATAAAGCTTGTGTACATATCAGTCAATTCTAAGGACAAGAAGACAGGTTTCGCTTACTCTTAAAGCTGCAATTACAATTCTGATGGCTTGACGACCAGTACTCTCTGAATTAAGGCTAACTTGGGAAAACCAAGAAACATTCGATACCACGTTCGCCTCTTCTGACGGCAGGTTGTCCCGCGTCAACTTCAATTATATTCAGCAACTAAAACGAAGAGACACAGCAATGGCGTATCAAAATAGTTCGCTCAACGGCAATATCACTAGTAACAGCGATACTACCTCATCGACTGGGGAAGCCGTTGCCTTCAAAGTAATAAAAGTACTCTGTTACTCTGTAATTATGTTGATGTCGCTAGTTGGTAACACGCTGGTCATAACCATTATCTATCGAAACAAGAGAATGCGCTCTACGACGAACAATCTGATAGCTAATATGGCCATCAGTGATTTGCTGTTCCCGTTATTTGCTCTTCCACGCGAAACCGCCAAAGTTTTCGTCGGTACGCTGAGGTGGCTTGTAGATGGAGTCGTTGGAGACATTTTGTGTAAAATTGTCCCGTTTTCGCAAGACATTTCAACTGCCGTGTCCATCCTAAGCCTTGTTGTTATAGCATTTGATAGATTTTATGCGGTGAAGTTTCCGTTCAAACCAGCTATTATAACGCCCAAGATGTGCCGGGTCATCATTTCATTTATCTGGGCGGTAGCAACGAGCATCCATTCTCCTTACTTTTATACCTTCAGACTGGCCATAAACAACAATATCACATACTGTATATACGCTTGGGAGCCAGCATTCGATACCATCTCAACCCAGAAGGTTTACTTTTTAATTATCTTCAACGTGCTAATCCTATTTCCAATCTTTGTAATTACAATACTGTACACAGCCATTGCTGTTGAGATCTGGAAGCAGAAGGGACCGGTTGAGCGATCCTGCCATGAACGACAAAGACGCGAGGTTGAAAACAGAAAAGTCCTCAAACAGGTTGTGACGGTAGTTGTCGTTTTCATATCGTGCATCACACCAATCACGATTTTCAGTTGTCTCTTACATTTTGTCTGGAATCTACAGCCACCGCGAGAAATCGAGGTTGACTTCAGATTTTGTGCTCAGTTTATCATTCATTCAAACGCAGCAATAAACCCTTGTATATATTTTGTTTTTAACAAGAATTATCGGAAAGGCTTGAAAGAATTATTCGAATGCTGCGTTCAAATTTTTAGCCGTTTTCCAAAATCAGATCAACACAATATTTCTACCCACTCTAATGTTGACACAAAAATAGAACGTGTTTCAAAGCAAAGGACACCTCGCGGTCAATATGTTTAAAGACAAAAAACATCCATCAGTATATATTTACAGACATATGTAATGATTGCGAAAACGCTTGCATGTGAAATAGTACAAAGTATGAATTCTACTTCACAATGAAGTCAGCCAAAATTCTGACTGAAGGGCAATTAGTTAAAACCATGTCGGATGCCAAAACAAGTGGGAAAAAAATTCAAGAAAAGGTAGGCTGGGAAAAGAGATACAATTTGCAAGTGATTTTGATTTTTGTCTTATCAAATTTTGACATCATTGTACCCATATAAGGAAAGCAAAGAAAAAAACTGAATTGAGTTGCAATTTTTTGGGGGTTATTAAGAGACAGACTAATATAATGTCAAATTAACGCATGTTAAAAACTGCAAAAGAGAATTTCGTATAAAATAACCTGATATTCAATATGTACCTAGTTTAATGTTTCGAATTACCGTAATATTAGTCTCTGTGTACACAGAACGTGAACCGCTTGGTCATACTGCTTGTTTAGTTGTCATTAAAATTTATTCAAAAAACCAAATGTCATTTACTTAGCAGATTGATATATATAATCACTTTAATTCGAATGCATTCACGACCAAGATCTTTTCCCAGTGAATGAATTAAAATTTTAAATGACAAGGACATGAATTAATAAAATCGCAGGAAAAGCCGGCATTTTTATCCACTCTCTTTTGAGTGTAGGGAAATGGAGCCTTTAAAATATTCTTTGACTCCAATATCAGGCTACCCTTTCCATCAGATCCTACAGTCCAAATAGCGAACTTCGCAAGAGGGCGTCTTTAAGTATGTAAGGATGAAAATGGCACTCCTTCTAAATCGTTGGTAACCGAGGCCTCAGAATCGTTTTAATTCTGATTAAAGTGATTAAAGAGTCGAACAAATTTGGAGAATGTAAACTGAGGTAATTTTCATGAATTGCTCCCCTTCGTAGGTAGACTAAATCACGGTTCGAAGCCGTAGAGTTAACAAAAAAAGAATAAAAATTATCTGTTATTATTATTATTATTATTATTCATTCAAAATTTTCCTCCGATTCTGATTGGCTAAAAGCACCCGCATAATTTACCATAACCAGTTACTGTGACCAAATTTGGAAGAATTTGTGTTTAACGAGGAAATGACGTCAAAAACGCAGCGTTCTTGCAGGTTAATGCACCGTTAACCGAGAAGACCTGGGGACGAGGCTGAGTTGTTTTGCTTGTGAAAACAAAAAATGGCGGACATTTCACTCGTTTTAAGGGAGGGGGAGGAGGAGGGGATTATTTGGTGTAGCAAAACTGGTTGCCATTTTCATTGGCAGGCGCCGAGTGGCCACGTGAGGGCTTTTGGCACTCGGAAGTGGCCTATTGCAATTGCATTGAAAATAAGGAATATCCACCGAAAACTATAGCTGTTACAGACTCAGAAAATAAGCGTTCTTTGTCAGTCCCCTACAAATGCAAATAATAATAATAATAGTAATAATAATAATGCAATTTCTCTGCGCATGAAGGCCGAGTCCAAACTGAAAACGCTAAGGCTCCATAATCAACGCACTTTAATAACTTTACTCAATGCACTTTAACGGAGCTCGCTGCCCAGCAACGTAGCTCCATGGGAACGAAATCCAGTGGAGTGAGATGCCAATTGGGATGTTACATTTCATAATGTTTGCGCGTCTCTGGACGTACGGTTTTGACCCGGGGGACGGAAAATCGCGTGTCAATCCGCATAACAAAAAGTTTAGATGAAGACAATAAGAAAATAATAAAAAAAACTCTTTTTTATGTTATCAAGGGAAAAACGGATATAATCTCAAATAATTTGCTGAATCTTCTTGACAACTGACATAAATCCTAGTTGCTTCTTTCATGGTAGTTTCTCGTACGTTGTTGTGAATTGTCCCTTTCTTAAAGAATCGGTTATTAGATAAATTTTTTATCATGATAAACTAGCTCGTCTAGTCAATGAATTTCTCCGAAAAGAGTTTGTTTTAAACTCGGGCCTATATTATTTATGGGCTTTGCTCTTGATCGTGACTGATCGCTGGGCGACATCTCTGGTGAATGTGGTAGTATAGTGAATTTATTTCCGCCGAGTCGATGTTTCTCCAGCCATTGGGCATTTACTCAAGCTGGTTAAATGAAAGTTACATTAGCTGATGGTAAATTTCCATGAGGAAAATAAAGTATTTATTTAACAATTTAACTCTCGTGACCTAAAGATTTGACAGGTATTGACGATAATTTCTTTCCTTACATAAAGGTACAACAAATGTTTTTTGTTATACGCTTGGCGCTAACGCGGTATTTTTTATCAAATATCATGTAGATACATGGGTTAAATGCGCTCGAAGCGTGGGCAAGGAAGAGTGCAACAAAGTCCACATTTTCCGGAAGGCCACAATTGTAGTATTTTTGATCGTAGGCTGTTAAAAAGTACGCCACATGGTACGGCAACCAGCATAGCGCAAAGCAAATAACAACCGTCACGAACATTTTCAGAGCTCTTTTTTTGCTTCTGGAATGAATTATTTTGTGTTTGCTACAGAGATTTCCCGGATGCTTTCGCTTCCAGATTACATAGATAACCCTAATGTACAACGTTGCCATAGTGATAAGCGGGAACACATAAAACAGAACGAAAAGGATTGTCGTATAATCTCTGGAGGCCTTTGCTGAGTTGAAAGGAGCTGGCCATTGCTCAAGACAAAGAAGGAGACCGTCCGTATTCGTCACGTTATTTGCAACTAGCACCGGTGCGCTTGCTATAAAGGGTATCATCCAAGAGATTGCAATGATGATTCTACAGCGCTTTCGGGTCAATATTCTCTTGAGTGGCAGGCAAACTGCGAAAAACCTATCAAGCGCAATGCCTAGTAAACTAAGAATGGAACAGAAAGCAGAGATAAGCTGGCAGAACGGCAAGCCCTTGCACAGTATCACACCCACTACACCTTGCATCCATTCGTCTGTGTCTCTTATTTCCACTACAAGAGATTCGGGCACGTTTATAATTGTAGTCAATAGATCTGCAACGGCCATGTTCACAATGAGGCTGTAAGCTACCTTCCGCGTACGATTCGATTTTCCGCTGACAATTATTATCAAAAGATTTCCGATCAACGAAATTGTTGCTATCACCACATATGCTGCTGTTTTGGCCACCGTTACGAAGACATTTATCTCACCTAACAAAGGACACGGAGAGTAATCTTGGTGATAACTGTCTTGAAGTTCATTAATATCTTGTTCCCGGTTGGCCACAGAGCTGTTATCCAAAGGAAGGCTTCTACTGTCCATATTTGGGCTATATTGGGCTTTCCTTCTCAAAAAACCAGTCACTCTTAAGACATACTAGTTAAGCCAGTCGAATGTTTAAAAAGGTTATCCTTAGTGTTATTCCAGGAAAATCTGTTTGAGAGAGTTCTCTAGACCGAATTCAAAAGGAGCATCTGCTCCTTGAACAAACTTAAGTACGTTTTTTTCAATGTCATGATCAGGCACCATTAACACATAATTAGTCGCATTTGAATGGCTGAGTAGTCTTTCGGCCTTTAAAAACGCATAACAAATGACCAGTAATGAAACAATTGTCTGTTCATTTTTCTATATCATTTGAAAACATGCATGACGTTGATTTTGAAAATTTGTCCTTAAGAAGCACCTTTTGATCTGAGTTTTTGTTGAGCGGTGCGATTATACCAGCTTACGTGCATCATGATTTGTTTAACGCAACAATTCCTTAAAAGGGACGTGTTCTGAATGAGATTTAAGTTAAATCCTAGGTCTTATTTCAGGAATTACTGCGTTGAACTTTCACAAAAAAATTACAGTTAAAAGTCATCAAGTCTTTTTTTTTATTAAATGCAATAAACTCATTCCAACCTAAACTCAACCAAACTGAATGCAAGGCTGGCGATATATAGTCTAGGCATTTTACGAAAATAAATAACCTGTCACTTCTTGGAAGATAGGTTTTTTTAACGGTTTATGACTCAGCAACTTGTCCTCTACAACATATCAAAAGTTCCTTCAAAATCCCTGCCGGGGAAGTTGCCAAAAACGGGTTTTATTAGGGCCTCATATCTCCCCTAAAGCACAACATGGAAACGAAGCTTGATGTAATTATGTGTGCCTTTTGCGCGAGTTGTGTGCATTATACTGATATATATATATATATATGTAAAAACTAGCATAGGTTGAAAGATTTTGTTAACGTTACTCCCCGAGAAAGTCTAATACTTAAAGTGCCCGTTGCATGAGTTTAATTGCAGTAATTTCTCTTTTCTTTGCTTGGAGAAGGAAGCAAGTTAATGGCACATCACTACTTAAAGCTTTTATTTGTTATTAAGGAAACAGCCCTGAGGAAATTTGTCAATCTTTTCTCGTGTGTATCTATGTTGTGTCCTTGGTTTATATTTTAGTAGTTATAAAAATGGTCGTTGTGGCTCACTTTAGTACCCCCCTTCAAACGGAATTAACCGGAAAAATGACAGAAAATAAAAATAAGATCCCCCAATATGCAAAGGAGTACAGAAATGAATATCTATTTGTAAGAGGGATTAACGAGACATGCGGGAAGTTTTTAAGGGTATTAGATAAAGAAGAAAAAGTAGCAGAAGGATTTGATACTCCTCAAGCTAAAAGGCTTATGTTATGGTTTAGAAAATTTTTAAAAGCTCAAGAATTTGGTTACCTTAAGGACACTACTGAGTTTTATTTTGAAGAGAGTGATGCTAATTATATTGATCAATTAGAAACAACAGTAGCTGATTATTTTGATTTGTATTACGATGTAGGTAGTTATCAGTTTAACCAGGAAAAGTATGATAATGACTATCCTAGTTTAAGAGAGTTTCATGAATGTTTTGAAAGATTTAAGAAAAAGATAAACATTAGAGAAAAGACTTATGAAGAATTTATGAGTGAAGTTCGTGCTATGAAATTTGACCAGAATATTTTCAGTGATAGTGATAGTGATAGTGATAGTGGTGATTTTGAGATTATATTACATGATAGTGATAGTGATAGTGATAGTGGCGATTATGTGTATGTATTACATGGTAGTGATAATGATAGTGATAGTGATTAAATTGCAGCTTAAGAATTTACGTCTTCTAATATAATTAGTTATTAGAAGACGTCATGTCTAACCAATCGCTTGATGGTTTTCAGGGTTCTCAACCCTTTGTAACAGATAAAGAATTTCAGGGTTTGTCTTTAGATGAAATAAGGCAAATAATAGAACAAGAAAAAAAAGAATTAAAAAAAGATCACAAAGAATTTGATGAAAGAAAAAGATTAATTAAAATGTATAAAAGGTTGGTAAAAACCAGAGAAAAAGTAAGACAAGGAATTGATGTAGTAAAAGAAAGGAGAAAGAAAAAAGAAATACAAAAGAAACAAATCAAAACATTTGAAGAGTATTTTGAGGAATGTATAAAAAACAAAAAGATACCGCCTGATACTCCTCCTTATTTACGTAAAGCTCTTGAGAGGGCTATGAGAGAATACGTTCAAGGCCTTATCAAAGAGAAAACATCCTTGGAGAACTTTGCCATCAAATATGTTATTAAAGGAGAACCTGGGTTAAATCCAGAAGAATATTTAGTTAAGGCGTATAATACTTTAAAAGAATTTCTTATATACCACAAAAACATAAAGTTTGAAATTGTTTTGCAATGTATAATGGGACGGCTAACAAAAAAAGATAAAAAAGTTGAAGAACATCAAGAAGTTAAGGTTTACTTTAGATCAGGAGGTCGGAAAAATCTTAAATCAACAAATGAAGACGAAGAAATTGAGTATTGTTATAAAAAGATTATTGAAGATTTTGATAATTTTCACGCCAAAGGAAGTGGGTGGCACTTTAACGAAGTAGTTCAACTTGAAATTCATACTGTTGAGTATAACCCAGCAAAGGGGTCAACCTATATACCTCTTCCAGATTGGATAACAAACAAAAAAGCAATTGTTAATATTCAAAACAAAGATGAGAAATGTTTTCTTTGGTGTATACTTAGGCATCTTCATCCAAGAGAAGATAATGATTATCGAAAAAAAAGATTTAAAAGAATATGAAAATTCTCTTAACACCAAAGGAATTACTTTCCCAATGAAATTAAGAGATATTACAAAATTTGAAAAACTTAACCCAGAGCTTCCGGGTATTAATGTTTTTTCAGTTGATAAATTTACTTTTTATCCTTTGAGAATGGCGGAGAAAGATTGTTTAAATACTATTGATTTATTTTTGTATGAAGAAGATGGTGTTTCACATTACACACTAATCAAAAATTTTAATCGTTTAATTAGGCCCCAAAAAACTAAGAGTAATAATGGGCCATTATTTATTTGTAAAAGATGTTTTACACATTTTACTAAAGATGAATTATTACAAAAACATATCACATATTGCTCAAATAATGAAACAGTTTCTGTTAAGATGCCAGAAGCAGGTACAATGTTATATTTCAAAAATTATGAAAAACAACTTCCAGTGCCCTTTGTAGTTTATGCAGATTTTGAATGTTTTACTAAACCAATGAATACTTGTGTACCTAACCCAAAAGAATCTTTTAGTTACAATTATCAAAAGCATGAACCATCAGGATTTTGTATTTACATTAAAGGGATAGACCCTAATATATCATTTAAAACAATTATTTACACAAAGAATGATGATAGTGATAATGTAGCTGAGATATTTGTTAACAAACTTGCAGAAGTAACAAAAAGTATATATAATGATTTTTATCGTCGACCAAAACCACTTAGGTTGAGTAAAGAGGAACAGAAATCATTTGATAAAGCGGAAATTTGCCATATTTGTAGTCGCGAATTAAAAGAAGATAAAGTAAGAGATCATTGCCATTTTACTGGAAAGTATCGTGGAGCAGCACATAATAGTTGTAATATTAGATGTAGAAAACCGAGAGTACTACCAGTTATATTCCACAATCTTCAAGGTTATGATGCTCATTTGTTTATAAAGCAACTTGCTACTCTTTCAGGTGAGTTAAATTGCATACCATCTACTGAAGAAAAGTATATTTCATTTTCAAAGGATATTAAGGTTGGTGAGTACAAAGACCCGTCTGGATCAGTAAAACCAATAAATTTTGAAATAAGATTTATAGATTCATTTAAGTTTCTTCAAACATCGCTTGCCAATCTTGTTTCAAATCTATCCCCAGATGATTTTCATAATACAAAAAAAGCATTTAAGAAAAATGTAAACCTATTAACTCGTAAGGGAGTTTATCCATATGATTATGTTTCGTCACTAGAAAGGCTGATCGAAACACAATTACCTCCAAAAGAGGAATTTTATTCAAAGCTAAATGATGAAGACATAACTGATGATGATTACCAACATGCTAATAATGTTTGGGATACTTTTGGGTGTAAAACAATTAGAGATTATCATGATCTTTACCTAAAGTCTGATGTCCTACTTTTATCAGATGTATTTGAAAACTTTAGAAAAACTTGCCTCAAACATTACAACCTTGATCCAGCTCATTATTACACTTCCCCCGTGCTAGCTTGGGATGCGTGCCTCAAAGAGACAGGCCAACATTTAGAGTTACTACATGATTATGACAAACTAATGATGTTTGAGAGAGGTATTCGTGGAGGAATATCTCATATATCAAAGCGATATGGAGAAGCGAATAACAAATATATGAAAGACTACGATCCTGATAAACCTTCTACTTATATCCAATATCTCGATGCAAATAATCTTTACGGATGGGCAATGACACAACAACTTCCAACGCATGGGTTTAGTTGGATGAAAAACCTAACAAAAGAGCATGTAATGGACATCCTAGATAAAGCAAATCATAGTATGTCAAATCGTGGGAGAAAAGGGTATATATTTGAGGTAGATTTGGAATACCCGCCCAAGCTATGGGCCGGCCATAATGACTATCCGCTTGCACCTGAAAAGATGATTGTTAATGGTGTTGAAAAACTTATCTGTCATTTTAAGCCCCGAAAAAACTATGTTGTACATTATCGTAATCTTAGGCAATATCTTGAGATGGGAATGAGGTTAACTGCTGTTCATAGAGGAATATCATTTTACCAATCTTCTTGGATGGAGCCTTACATAAGAAAAAATACAGAACTTCGAAAAACAGCAGCTAACAGTTTTGAAAAAGACTTTTTCAAACTAATGAATAATAGCGTTTTTGGAAAGACAATAGAGAACATAAGAAAAAGACAGAATATAATTCTTATTGATGATCGTAAGAAAGCTGCCAAACTAACGAGCCGGCCAAACTTTGACCGCGCAACAATATTTGACCGCAACCTTATTGCAGTTCATATGAAGCGTACAGAAGTGTATTTTAACAAACCAGTATATGTTGGCCAAGCAATACTTGATCTGTCAAAAACATTAATGTTTGATTTTCATTACAATTATATCAAAAAGAAATACCGGCATGGGGCTGAGTTAATGTTTACAGATACTGATTCACTTTTATACCAAATTCATACAGATGATTTTTACCATGATATAACCCATGATATTCTTGAGAAGTTTGACACATCTGATTATCCTCCTGATCACCCGTCTGGTATACCAACAGGAGTTAACAAAAAAGTAATAGGAATGTTTAAAGATGAAGTAGCGGGAAAACAGATTACACATTTTATTGGTCTTCGTCCAAAACTTTATACTTTTAAGATAGAGGATGGAAATACTACTAAAAAGTGTAAAGGAATAAAGAAAAGTGTAGTAAAAAAGGGAATAGATTTTGAGCATTATTTTGAGTGTTTATTTACTGGAGAAAAGCAAATGAGAACCATGAAAATTATAAGAAGTGATTCCCATGATATTTACTCAAAGGAAATAAATAAAATAGCTTTGAGTAATGAAGATGATAAAAGAAAGGTCCTTGAGGACTGTGTACACACTTTGGCTCTTAGGTAATTTTAGTTTTAAGATAACAAGTTACAAATAATAAATGTCGCCGTATACAGAAGATCAAATAAAAAGATACTTGAAATATTGCATAATTATACTAAACCTAAAGAAGAAAAAGAGGACGAGATCGGCGCTAGTAGAAAAGCTAAATGCTGTAACTGCCCAAATAGTGAACGTTTTACTATTCATTTTGGTCAAAAAATCTGTGATGAATATGGAGTATCAAACGGCCATGTATTAGGTTTTTTTGATGCTAAAGATTATGATAGATTACATTTTCGAAAAAAGAGTATTTATCAGAGACGCTACTATTACGAGAAAAAGGTTAATCAAGTTTCTAAAAGACTCCATCTAACAGATGAACAAAGATATGAACTTTATAATAAACTAATGGCAATAGACAATAACGCCATGGAAATACTAAACAAACGATTTTGCCGGAAGAGAATGATAAGTATTTTTTATTTGATTAAAAAACTTTTGGAGGAAATGGGGGGAGAATATAGCAAAGCGAGCAAACTAGTTTATCTTAAGATTTCGCCACAAACTCTGGAAAATTATGAAAAGTGGTGGGCCTCCTACAAATCACTCAACAACGGCCTCAGCCACGCCTTTGTGGAAAAACCAGTAAACAATCCCAGTTAGATAACCAAGTACCTCACATTTTTTAAAAGGAGTGTTGATCACGTAAACACATCCTCTTCCAATCCTATAGTGTTTCCAGAAAGCTTTGAAAGCGAGACTGAATATTAAATGATTGGCAATGATGTTTGAATTTGAATTTAGGTAATGTCTTGCTTCTGTCAGTCTGTAAATAATTTGGTTAATGTCCAATTTTTGTGTAAAATACTTTGCGTAGAGAAACTGGTAAACAAGACAAGCTTTAATGAAGTTATCGGGATAAAATTGTGTTTTATAAGTTGGGAAGTAAAGATTCACATATTCCACTATTGTACTAATCATTTTCTATTTATTGATTAGAATAAATTAATTATGGCTTTAAGAAATAAAATATAAAATAAAATGGAAAACACTTTAGAAAAAGTTTTTATAAACAGCAATCTTGGAATCAAGTTTAAATCTTATATTGATGAAGACTGCAATGTTTGGTTTCAAGCTAAAGATGTAGCAACTATTCTTGGGTATAAAAAAACAGATGATGCTATAAAGAGGCATGTAAGTGAAAGTAATAAAATAAAAAAAGTTCAACCCCGCGAATCACGGGGTTGTACTTTTATTTATTATATCAACGAACCAGGTTTCTATGAACTTGTTTTTAGATCTAAACTTCCTGCTGCAAAAATGTTTCGACAGTGGGTGTTTTCCAAAGTTCTCCCATCTATTAGAAAATATGGTTACTATAAAAAATTTAAAAAAGAAAATAAAAGATTAATTATAGTAGATGGAGTAGAATATTATAAACATCAAATATTTTCTGATTATGCTGCAAATAAAGATGGAGATATATACTCTCTTAAAAGAAAGAAAATATTAAAGAAAAATAAAGATTCTAATGGATATTTATTTTTTTTTATTTATGACAAAAAACTTGAAAAACAAAAGTTTTACTATCAACACAGATTTGTTTACGAAGTTTTCAAAGGACCAATTCCACATGGTTTTGAAGTTGATCATATCTTTCCTGTGAAGAGTGATAATAGAATTAAAAATTTGCAATTACTTACTCATAAGCAAAATGTTGAAAAAGTAAAAAATAAACCAATTATTTCTACTTGTATTAAAGATGGAAAAGAAAGAAGATTTATATCTATCAAAAAGGCTTCGATTGAATTGGTTATTAAACATTCTTCTATTTCAAATATTTGTTCTAAAAGAAAATCTTGTAAAACAGCAACTTCCAAAAAAGATAATCAAAAATATACCTTTAGATACTTATGATTAAATATTAACACTAATATTTAATCTATATATTGAATTTTTTTTTATACTTCTCAACAAAGTTATCCGCACTTGATGGGCAATGATCAATTATTATTTCATCTAATATTTTAATACGATCTATAAATTCTTGTTTATTCCACTCATCACCTCTGAGTGCTGATCGCAGTTCAACCAAAACTTTTTCATAAGTGGTATATGCCAGTTTTGTTTTTTCTATCTTTTTCTTAAAATCCTTCTTTTTTGTAATTCCAGCTACAATAACTCCAGCACCATTTACAACTCCGAGAACAATAGGGTTTAGGGTTATTCCACCAGCAATAGTTCCAATTGCAACCAAGCTTATTCCAGAAATACTAAAAACATCATCAAGAAATTTGTATCTCTTATAACACTTTTTATAACACCAGTATTTTTTGTGGTAATGAGAATAAAAGTGTTTTAAGATTTTAACATCTTCTTCTGTTAGTGATTTATCTATATGGTTGAATTCAAAAATGCAACGGCTGCCCGGCTGTCGACTTTGATTACTACTTATTTATTATTTAGGGGTAAATTATTCTACGTGGCTTCCAAGTAGTTTTTCTTGTAGCATTACTTTGTGGAATACACTTCCTCTAACGTCATAAAAGTTTGGTGAATACATAAGCCTAAACATTATCCCGTCATCGCATTCAAAAGTAAACTTTAAGTTTGCGGGGTAGGAAAAATTACGCCATATAAGCGAGGTGCTATAATTACTTATGTTAACCTTTGTGATAGCTGGATTTCTAGATTCTGTAAGCCATAAAATAATGTGTTTTCCATGAAAGCTACTTGGCATTGCCATAGTTTTATCACTACCTGAAAAATTAAAGGTTAACACGTTATTATTTTTATTATAGCTTACAGTATAAAGCGTTTTTGATCCGTCTCTTTTTATTAAACTAAAATTTCTATTTCTCCAATGAACAAAAACAAGGCATAAAGTTAAATTAGGAGAATTAGAGGGAGTAAACGTAAATCTGTAACCATTAATATTAAGGCCGTCAAGGCCTACTCTACTTATATCAACATTAACGGGTAAAGTAATATTAGGCTTGACAGAAGTAAGAACAATGCCATAAGAACCAGTTCTTACTCCATACTGGTTTGCATTACTAAAGTCATAAAAATCGTTAAAAAACGTCCTAAGAAAAGAGTACTTAGTTAGTGTATTTACTTCATTTACCATAGCCACTGTTGCTACACTATCATCATCACTCCGGTTAAGTTTAACGTTTTTGATTTCTTTTTGATTTGCGTTAATATCAACATTATACACCACTTCTGTTGGTTTGATATCAAATGCGGTGTGATAGTCGTAAACTTTATCTGGATCGATATTGCTAAATGTACCCTTAATACCATAAGCAACTAGGTAAACCCCTAAAAACTGCCTCGGATACTTAGCCAGGTTATATCCACCCCGAAGAATATCAACCAAAATGTGAAGAAAGAACTTATTCCCAGATGGCAACTTCCGGAAATTAACTATTATTCTGTGGTAATACATAGTTTGTGTTTTTCCTGTTAAATCACTATAGTTATGGGACAACTTTTTTACGCTTAAATTTCCAATTGATAATCCTGTTGAAGTTCCTTTGTCAGCACTTATTTTACTATTATTCCAAAGATTATAATCTGTGTTGAGTATTTCCAAACACAACGTGTAATCAGTATTTGCAGTTAGTCTGTAAAAATTAATTCCCATCTTATAAATAAATTTACCTTGAGAATTTTTGTTTATAGTCATGTAAATAACTTTGTGATTATAGTCGTGAAAGTTTCCTTTGTTTGGTGGTAAATCTCCTATACTTCTTATACCAAAACTATTTCCACCATCTATTTCATCAGTCCATTGAGACCCGCTTGACATGAGATAAGCAAACTCATTTTTGTAATGACTTGGTTGAATTGCAGTAAGATGAACTAGATTGTCGACATAACCTTTGTTTACTGAGTCTGTGTCTTGGGTTGGTACTCCCAGATTCTCTATTTTATTACCACCAAGGTTGACATCAGCTTTTACAACCCCACTTATTACAATTTTAGGTGTGTTGATTTCTATTCTCTTAAGTGGTTTGGTTATTGCTTTTGGTAGTTCAGTAAATACCCTGCAAGTAATAGCAGAATGATTGGAGTTGTTAAGAGTTCGTAGTTTTACTCCTGACATATCATAACTCCAAGACTTAAGAATATTTAATGACCAAGTGCCAGTGCGATTTCCACTTACCCAAAATCTAGATTCGTAATTAGAGTCATCTCTTGGAATAAACCACAAAAAGTCAACGTTTACATTTCGCGAACCAAATTGAAATTCTATTTTGTTAATGTATGTGTTAGCAGTTGGTGTCCACCCTACAAGGGGTTGACCAGGTGCTGATGTAGTTAAAACAAAATCATCAAAGGATGATCCTGAGATATATTGAAGATACATGGTTGTTGTTACATTTGGTTCTGTTATAGTAAACACACCACTTGTTCCATTTCCAGAATGATGATCAAGGCGGTCTATTTGTTTACGAACCCATCCGCGATTAGCAGCTTGTTGATCTGTGGTTGGGTCACTGAGGTTAACTATTTTATTATTTCCAAGATTAAGGTTACCAGTCATTGCAACAGTACCATCTTTTTCCAAATAATCACTTAAATCTGGACTTCCACTATTATCATCCACATATTTTTTTGTTGCGGCGTCTGTATTTGATGTTGGAGTAGCGAGGCCAACTATTTTTTTATTTCCAAGATTTAGGTTACCTGTCATTGCAACACTACCATCTTTTTTCAAATAATTACTTAAATCTAAAGGGCTTCCACTACTTCCACCAGAAGAAGTTTTATCATCGACATACTTTTTGGTTGCAGCATCTGTGGAGGCTGTTGGTGGTCTAAGGTTAATTATTTTTTTATTATCCATGTTTAGATTATTAGTCATTTTATTTGTTCCGGCAACGTGGAGATACTTTATATCTGTGAAAGCTAATGGTGTTGGTTGATTGGAACCTGCTGGAGCTGGCAGATTTATTATTCGATTGTTGTCCATATTAAGATTTCCTTTCATTGGGTAAGATCCATCTCTGTCAAGAAATGTGTTGTCTACGTAATATTTTGTTGCTGGATCTTTAGCATCCTGTGGTGCGATAAGATTTGTAATTCGGTAGCGATTCTTCATATCAATGCTTGAATCAACTGTTAGTCTTGATGTTGAGGGAGTACCAGTGGAATTATCATCAACATACTTTTTGTTTGCTGCGTCATCATTAGCTGTTGGTGCGCCAAGTTTAATTATTTTATTATTATTCATGCTTAGATCGCCAATCATTGTTCGTGAACCATTTCTGTCAAGAAAACGACTGTCTGAGTATTGTTTTGTGGCTGGTTCATCTGCGTCAACTGGATGTTTGAGGTTTAGAATACGGTACTGGTCCTTCATATCAATGTTTGAATCAACTGTTAGTCGTGATGTTGAGGGTGTTCCAGTGGAATTATCATCAACATACTTTTTTGTAGCAGCATCAGTATTAGCACTAGGTGCACCAACATTTCTTAGTTTTTTATTTATCATATCATAATCCCCACTTGAAGTTAGATTAAATCCAACTCCTGGTGCTCCTTGAATTCCCCTTGCAAAGGGATGATCTAAAGATTGTTCGTTAAATATTCCCATTTTAATTAATGGTTAGACAACTAGCTCGTAGAGATACCACCAGCAAAGTTTTTTGCAATACGTTTTCTTGGTTTATCAACGTAAAGAAATGAAAAGGGTTTCTTGGTTGCTGCGCGGTAATCTTCTTTACTGACTCCTAACTCAGATGATATTCTGTTTGCTTCCCTCGATGATGGAAATTCGTACAGGCAGTAATGAGAACAATTCAGCCGAATGTCCTTTGGTGTTTTATAAAACGATTGACTGAGGTACACCACCGAACAATTCTTATGTCGTCCTTGAATGAAATAATCAATCAGTTGTCTCTGGTTTCGGTCGCAAACGTAGTCATCGAATATCACAAGTTTTTGGTTGTCTTCGTAATCCATTTCTGTCACTGGGGTTACTTCATCATTACTAACATGAAGTATTTCATATCCCAATTTATGGCTTAACTCCCTCATTTTTTGAATTAGCTTTTGGTATTTGTCCTGCTCTAGATTACGAGCGTAAAGATAAATCTCATCATAATACAGTAGTGGTTTAATTAACATATGGTACAATAGATTAGTCTTTCCACTTCCACTGTTTCCACAGATTAACATCCGGAATGTGTCTGATAGCATGTAAGGAAATAATTGTTTATATTTTTTATCTGGGTTGTCGCCACTATCATAGTTTGGTATTTCCATTTATATATTTAATAGATAAAATGGATGTTGAAGAATACAAAAAACTTGCAAGAAATAATATTGAAGCTGATGCTTTGATTAAACAAGTGAGAGATGTCATAAAAATAACAAAATGGCAAAAACAAGATGCTCGGGAAGGTTTTAAAGAGACATTTAAACCACTTATTAAATCCCAAGATAGCATTAAAAAATGTATTGATGAGCAGCAAAACGCAACTATAGCTCAACTCAGAGCTAATCAACTTGCTCTTACACAAGGACTTAATCAAAACAGACTTGCTATAACTGAAGGATTTGATAAAATGGATGAGGTAAAAAAATGGGATTTGGCTCAATTACCAGGTTTTGAAGCAATTGAAGACCCACCTAAAGAAGATGATGAAGTTTTACCCTCTACATCAGACAAAAAACCAAAAATAGCAAAATTTAAAGCTGAAGACCTCGATAGATATTTAATGAGTAAAGATTCACTAGATATACTAAAAACTAACGAATATTACAAACTCCCTTCTGAGTATTTTGAAGAAGATATTTCTACCATTAATAAAGTAATTGATGATGTTAACGAAGATTTAGGAGAGTTGAGTGCAAGAATAAAAAATACTGCAGATTTTGTACGAGACGCAAACGGTTATGTTTTAGCTCAACCAAAAAGTAAAAATCCACGAGAAGAAACATTAGATTACATAAAAAATTTTAACATATTAAGCATATATGCAACAAATTTAAGTAATCTTAAGTATTATAAAACAAAATCTGGCTCTGGAATGATTTACTTTAACAACCCACATCAACTTCTAGACAGACTTGAATTACTCGGTGGTTCAATTCTTGCTGGTAATAATGGTGTAATACCTGAGTTTTCTCAAATAGCGCATCTTCTCAACCAAATGGGAGTGGTCACAAAAAAACAACTAAATGATCTACTAAAAAAATATATAACTATTAATTAAAATGGAAGAACGAGCTATTCACATTTCTTCAATAAACAGGGAAAAAAGAGGAACAAGCAGACCTGGCGATTTTACTATCAAGTTTAATCCAACTCTTAAACTTGACCCTGAAAAGAAACATCAACTTGCTCTTGATCGGTTGTCCATGACTTATTCTTGGTACAACATTAGAAGTGATTATGGAAACAATAAAATCAAATACACTCATGATGGATCTACCTGGCAAACAATTACTTTTACAGATGGAATGTATTCCTACTCAGATATCAATGATTACATTCATCAATATATGTCACAAAAGACTCATCATTCAACAGATTCAAGTGGAAAAAAGTCTTATTCAATCAATCTAACTTTTATTCTCTCTACATATCGAGTGTTAGTATCACTTGATGGTAGTTACCAACTTGATCTAAGAGGAACAGAATTTGGAGACCTAATTGGATTTGAAAAGAAACTTGTTACTAAAACAGAGTATGGCTCAAAACTACCAAATATAACAAACTCGATTGATGTACTAAATATAAACACAACCGCAATAACTAATAGCATTGTAAATGGAATAAATACAAATACTATTGCTGTAATACCAACAGACAATCTCACAAGAAGTTTTCCATTTACGTTTGAGCCTAAAAGGCCATTGTATTGTGATGTTTCTTCATTTCACATTGATGAAATGAGAATCTATGTGACAGACTCACTTGGAAGACCAGTAAATTTTAATGGTATAGATTGGTTTATGACTTTGATACTTCACTCGATGTAAGCTGGGGCACCTACGGCCCCCTATAGCCCCTCCCTCAAATATATAATCATTAAATAAAAAATGATGCGACAATCAGAGTTTAAAATGAAACTTGACCCTGAATTGGGCCGATATACAAGACAACACATATATGGAGAAGGTTTAACAGATGTTTTTAAATCTTTTGGTAGAAAGGTATTTGGAAAGACAATGAAAAAAGCTGCTAAAAGGGGCGCTGAAAAAGCAGTGACAATGACTGCAACAAAAACTGGCGAACATCTGGGTAAAAAGGCTGGTGATAAAATAGTGCAAATGTTGTCAACCAACGGGGGGGTTGCGCCCACCAAAAAACCCCCTGCTAAAAAAGTTACTTTTAATAAAAATGCCGAAACAATAAGTCAACAAGAGATAGATCAAATGTTAAATAACCTTCTTAGTGGAGGCTCAACACGAAGGAGAAAAATTATATAATTATTAAAATAAAATGAAGTCTTTTAGAAACCCAAGATATTTAGATAGATATGAGGATGTTGTTTTTGACCTGGAACAGACTTTAGATGCGGCTCCAGCAAATAACGCTCACCAAACTAAAACAGGTCTTAGATTTGTTGCTGATAATACAGGAGAAACTACTCCTTTTGATTGGTATAACGCAAGGCTGTCAATGGATTTTAAAGTAAATAAGCTAGCAGATGGAGGAAATTTAGCGATTGCTGACCATAACGGAATTGTAAATGGTAGTAACTCTTTTATAGAAAAATTAAGTATCCTAGCAAATGGTCGAGAAGTTTATAGTTGTAACTACGCAAATCATGTTGTAAATATTAAAAATCTTCTTGAGTATAATCCTTCATATGCTGAGAGTGTTGCTGCAAATGAATTTTATTTTCTTGATACATCAAGAAATGCAGAGGAAAGAGAATTTGAAGTTAGTGGCACAAATCAGTTAGCTAAAAGAAAAGCAACCTATAATAAAGGTTTTCATAAAAGAAAATTACTACTAGGTACATCAGCCACAGTAAACTGTGAAATTCCTCTTAATAGATATTCTTTCTTTGAAGCATTGGAAGACAAATTACTTCCAAATACAAAAATTGAGCTAAATATCGAAATTGAAAAAGATGCAAATTTAATTTTTCAAGCAGCTGATAATTGTAGAGTTATTATAACAAGACTACAACTTTTTATTCCAAAACTTACGTTTAATTCGGAAGGGCAAAAGTTGTACATGGAGAATTATCTTAAACCTTACAAATGGTCATATTTGAATGAAGTAGTTGAAAGATCAAATAATTCACAGCAACAGACAGGGCATTTTAGAATTACAAATGCTATTTCAAAGCCAAGACATGTATTTGTTTTTGGAATTAACACGGCAAGAATTGATTCACAAACAGCAAATCCATTTTTATACGACACTTTTAATCTACCAAATAATGCTAATATATCAAGATGTTACCTGGAAGTTGCAAATGGAAACGAATACCCAGATATTCACTTCAAACCTTCTACAGATATGTCAAGAGTTTTTAGAAATGTAATGTCATACGTCTACGCAAATAATGATTATCAAGGTGGAACATTACTTAATATAAGTAATTTCAAAACTTTATTTCCTTTTGTTTATTTTGACCTAACAAAACAAAAAATGGATATCAAAGATGGTGTTACAAAATTGGCCTTTCATTACGAGCTGTCTGCTAATCCAAACGCTGATTATAATATTTACGCATTAGTCTTACATGAAAGAATAGCAGAAATATCACAACAAGATGGAAAACTATTGCTTAGGGCTTAATCTATATATATTATAAAAAATGATAAATCCTTTTGATATATATCCACCAGTAACTTTAAAAAAATACCCTTTTTTAAAAGAAAATAAATACTTTGAATACGTTATATATCTTACTCCTTCACAAATAGAAAATTTTGGAAATGAAAATATTATTACCTTGGATTACACGTCCAATTTACCTTTTAAAGTTTTTCTTACAAATACCCAAATCAAAAAGATAGAACTTGCAAAAAATCTTAATACAAAAGTTGATTTAAAATTCAGTAAAACTCAGTTTAAAAAAACTTTACCTTATGTTACAAGTATAAATAAGCGTGCGTTAAAGCAACGATATAAAGACAAAATTGAAACTTTAAAAAAAGAAAATGCAAAGAAAGCCAAAAGATTAAATATATTAAAGCTACAAGACCGACTTGAGTCTTTAAAAAAAGAAAATGCAAAGAAAGCCAAAAGATTAAAGCTACATGACCGACTTGAGACTTTAAAAAAAGATAATGCTCAAAAGCTAAAAGATTACAAATTAAAAAAAAACGAACTGGATTATATTACTTTTATCAAAAATACGAGAGAAAAAGCCCTGCACCCTGATCCCAAACCAAAGAAAAAAATTAGCGACTTATGGAGTAAATATCTTTCAGAAACGCAAAAATATTACATATAGAGGCCCGCCAGCACAAAATAATATACTCACTTTAATAAAAATGGCAACTACTTACATTGAATACGATGTAACACTTACAGATGGACAAAAGACAAAACTAGTAAGAGCAATAAAAAACAAATCGGAATTAACTCTAAGATTAAAACATTCACAACTTCGAGGACCTGATGAATTAATGTTAACCCGGAGACAAATTTCTAAAATAAAGAAGAGTATTGCAAATGGAACAGGAACTGATATAAAGATAAGTAAGACACAGATTAGGCGTTCTGTGAAACATGGTGGAAACTTATTTTCAGCACTCGCATCTCTTGGAGCAAAAGTACTACCTTACGCAATTAAAGGAGTTTCAAAAGTTGCTCCTGCGCTGGCAACTGGTGCTGCTACTGCACTTGGAGAAATTGGACTAAATAAAATATTTGGAAAAGGAATCACAATTCCCCCACAGTTTTTCCCAATGTTACCGCCTCTGGTAAGAGAATTTACCAAATCACAAATAAATCAAATCAACAAAGCTTATCAAACAGGCGGGCGACTGGTTATAAAACCAACTCGTAAACAGATAGAAGGAGGATTTCTTGGAACTCTTGCATCTATTGGTATCCCAATGGCAATTAGCCTGGTATCAAAGATGTTTGGTGGGGGCCTGCAGGTTGATAGACATGGGACATCTAATGCAGCAAATGTTTACGTTCCTCCTCCTCCACCACCGCCGCCATCCACATATGGAGAAGGTTATCCTTATCGCCCACCACCCTTTTTCGGTACATGGGAAAACCCAATAGGAATGGGAGTAAAAAAAAAAAAGTCCAAAGGCAAGGGACTACTATTAGGAAAAAACAGCCCATTCAACCCAATTCCCATTCTCGGCACCATTTTGCAATTAAGGCGTTGTCCAACTTTGACCTCATGGAATGGATAAAAAGACTTGGTATTAAACATTTCAGAGGGGTGTTTAGTCGCGATAGACTACCAAAAAAGATAAGAAAAGAATGTGGAATAATAAATCTAGATGGTATAACAGGCCCTGGAACACACTGGGTTTGTTATAGAAATATAGGCAATTTAGTTGAGTACTTTGATCCATTTGGGTTGATAATGCCAAATGAAGCACTAAAGTATTTTCGTACTTCCGGAAAACGAATAGTTTACTCAATGGATGAAATACAAAATCGCAGTACTGTTCTCTGTGGTTATTGGTGTTTATACTATCTGTTTGAGAGACAGCATGGTAATAGTATTCTAAATGTAATACATAACCCACACTTTGATAATGACAACAGCGATTTCATAAAAGAGTATTTTGGAGGGTGAACCTAAGGTTCTAAGTAAAAAATAATATTTAATAAATATTATTTTTTTTACTCTTTATTCTACTAAAGATTTAAAACGTTCAGTATCATATTTTAACATTTCTAAAAATTCATAAAGTTTAAAAAGTTTTTCTATTTTAGTAATTTTACTTCCGTGATATTTTAAGAGATTTTTAAAAAAATCTTTTTCTTCGCTTTCTATTTCTCTAAAAAACTCGTCATCTTTGCGAAGTTCCTCTATCTCTTTCCAAATATTATTTCGAATTTTATCCCTATTATCTTCTATTGACTGACTGTTAATTTTTTTAACCAGATTAATAAGACTTTCTTCCATCTATATTACTTTTTTTTAATCTTTAAATCATTTTATTCCCCATCATCTGGTAAATCCTTTAGCTGTTTAACCTCCCCAACTTTTTTATTTAATTCTTTAACACTATCAACTATTTCACTAATTTGAGAATAAATATTAATAAGACGATAAAATTTATTCTTTTTGTCACTATCTATTTTCAACCAAGAATATTCCCCATCTCTGATTTTTCCCCACATCTCACATTCACCAGCCATTAGTATTCTAGAAAGATCATCATTACTCTTTCTAAGAGTTTCAAGCTCATTTACTATTTTTTTTCTTAATTCTTTCTCAAAATCTTTGAGTGTTTTAACATCCATCATTTTTTCTATCTCAGAAAAGAATTTGGCTTCCATTTGTTATATGAATAGATAATTACCTTTTACACTTTGGGAAATAATATATTTTTCTCAATTCTATGTATTACTTTGTAATGATTATTTAGTGTTTCTTTATTACAAAATGCTTTTGGGCAGTATTTACAAAGAATACGAACACCAGCCATATACTTATGTATAAGTTTGCTAATCTTATCGTAATCATTACTTAGAATAAATGCATAATCATTATTACGATACTTTTCTTTCATCTTCAGTTGAGATTCTGTTACACAGTAATTGTTAGTTGGTGATTTGAATTCAATACAGAGACCTTTATATCCCCTGTGATAATCTAGAATCATTAGATCTGGTTGTCCTCGTTGATATCCTTTTTTATACGAATCTAGCCTTTTTTCCTCTGTATCTTGATTCTCTCCCAGTCCGGCTACTAATATAGAATCAGGATAATAATTTCTAATTAGTTGAACAACTTTGTAATGTAAATCTGTCTCATTTTCTATTTTGAACATTTTATTATAACGGTTATCAAACATTTTAAAATAACCATATTTTCTGATAGATGGGAGGACTAGTGATGTTACCCAGTGTTTGAACTTTTTAGCAGTTTCTAATTTAGATGATAATAAAAGGGAGTAAAACCCAGATTCATTTATGAAATTACACCATCTAACCTGACCCGCCGTTTCGACGGGGCAGCTTTTTTTAACCTGACCCGTCGTTTCGACGGGGCAGCTTTTTTTTACCTGACCCGCCGTTTTGGCGGGGCAGCTTTTTTTTACCTGACCCGTCGTTTCGACGGGGCAGCTTTTTTTAACCTGACCCGCCGTTTTGGCGGGGCAGCTTTTTTGGTCTTCTTCATCAACATGTTTTCTAATTGCTTGATTAGTGTCTTTGTAACCTAAAATAGTTGCTACATCTTTTCCAAGAAACCAAACATTTTGCTGTTTGTCAATATAAGATTTTAACTCAATTCCTAAATCTTTATTAGCAAACTTCTTCTCCATCATGTTTGTCATTTATATAATAATTTTATTCTTAAAGTCTTAATTTATCATATAAATAGATAATTACCTTTTACAACTTTGTTAAGTGTATTTGATTTTTCACTTATTTCCATAAGCAACTCAAATACTTTCATAAATCTAGTGTCATTTTCCAATCTAGCAAAATCAGCATATTCAAAACTCATGTTAAGTACATTATATATCTTTTGAAGTTCACTTTTTAAAAAATTAGATCTAGTAGACATACTTCGTAGTTGTATTTTTTTTATCTAAACATTATATTAAATGAAAGAATCATATTGTATTGTAGATAAAAGAGTAACTCCTTGCACAGAGCCAAGTGGTTACCAAAAAGATAAAAGAGGTAGAACACAATTCTTTTGTAGATGTGCAGTTTGTGGAAACAAAAAAGTTAGATACGTAAAAACTGGATCAGCTTCTCAAACTGGAAGTGGGAAAAAAAGAAAACGAAAGTCAAAAAACTAAACAGCCCGTCTGAAGGGGCGGGCGTCTTTGATACCGTTGTTGGTACTGCAGTTGATGGATTTGTTCATTACGGTTTACCTTGGATGGGGCGAAAAGCAGTTGAAATGGGCCGATATGGAGCAAGCGAGTTAATGAGAAATAAAAATCTTCAGAAGAAAGCTGTAAATTATGGGATTAATAAACTCACTCCATTTATTCAGGAGAGTGTTGGAACAGCAATGGACCAGCTGTCAACCAAAGTTAGACCAAAAATTAAATATAAAACTGATAGAAAGGATTTAGACGGCCGATCAGGACGAGGAGTTGATATCCACAAATGGATTGGAAAACTTCCAAAGCCAAAAGCAGGATGGACGCCAGGAAAATACAAGTATATGGGCCCTTACAATCCTCTTGACGAACAATTAAGTTATGACCCAAACACTGAAGAAGTAACAGAGTGGAGAGTTAAACCGTATAACAAAGTTGATGAAATAGCAGCTTATCACGATATTTGTTACGACATGGGGCGCCCCAAAGGTGATTGCGATAAAGAGATGGTACAATCATTGGATGCCATTCCATATGGCGAAATGCCAAAGTGGGGTTCAACTTCTAGATTCTTGATTAATACAAAACAAAAACTCGGTCTTGGTTTAAACGCGCGTCGGCGTTGAGTAGTGATTGGTCTCAACAATTAGCCGACGAATTTCACAAACCAATCACAAGAAACTTTCAGAAGAGATCAGTAATCTCATACGGAATTGATGAAATCTGGGCTGCTGATTTGGTTGAAATGCAAAAATTTAGCAGGTGGAACAAAGGGATTAAATATTTGTTGATGGTGATAGATGTGTTAAGCAAGTATGGGTGGATTAGGGGCCTAAAAGACAAAAAAACTGAAACTGTTAGTAAAGCATTTGAGGATATATTCAAAAGTAAACGTAAACCAAAAATGCTATGGACAGATAAAGGTTCTGAGTTTATCAGTAAACATTTCAAAGATTTTCTGAAAAGAGAGGGAATCAAGTTGTATCACACTGAAAATGAAGAAAAATCAAGTGTTGTTGAGCGATGGAATAGAACAATGAAAAATAGAATGTGGAAGATGTTTACCGTGAATAACAACACTGTTTACTGGGATAAGATAGATAAACTGGTTAATGACTATAATAATGCGAGACACTCTAGCATTAAAATGTCTCCTGTTGAAGCAAGTAAAAAGAAGAATAAAAGTAAAGTTAGGAATAATTTGTATGGCGATTTAATCTATTTGAAACCTGGTAAACCAAAGTTTTCTATTGGAGATCGTGTTAGAATTTCTAAGTATAAGAGGAAGGTATTTGATAAAGGTTACACGCCAAACTGGACTGAGGAGATATTTGTAATTGATAAAGTTCTTCCAACAAGGCCTCTTACGTATAAAATCGTTGATTTGACGGGAGAAGAGATTAAGGGTTCTTTCTACGAGCAAGAATTACAAAAAGCAAAACAGCAGACATTTCGAATAGAAAAGATTATCAGGAGGAATAATAAAAAGAAAATTGCATTAGTAAAATGGAGTGGATATCCTGATAAATTTAACTCGTGGGTTAGTTTGAAGGATTTGGTTGATTTTTAATACAAATGATGTATTAAAAATAAAATCCTATTATTTACTCATTTTCTTCTTTATCAGACAAAACTAAGTCTTCGACTACTTGAGCTGTCTCTTCAGTATCGCTTTCCTCTTCCTCTTCATCTTCCTCTTCCTCTTCAATTGTTAGTAAAGACTCTCTTGGTTTTAATGGTTTGACATAGCACTCATGTACTTTTATTTGCAAAGATGTAACAGTTTTACTTATAAAGATTCCTTCAATTACCAGCGCCAATTTAACATTGCAATACTGGTTGATGTATTTAAAAGGATTTAAATCCTTACCTCCCTTTCCCTTGAACAAAGATAAAATTTTCTTTAATCTTTCCGAGTAAATAAGTTTTGCGTAAAGAACTGGTGCAGACGACTCATCAACTTTTGTTTTCTTTTTTCCTTTCTTTTCTGTATATTCTATCTGTTTGTAATAAAATGGGGAGGACAAACTTGATGCCATATCCGGGCCATATTCATCCTCAAGATAACGCCGAGTGGCATCTGTTACATTATTGATAACATCAAAAAATGCACGCTCTTTGGTATTCGGTTCACTATCTTTAGCCCAAAGGCATACTGGTATGGAGTAACCAACTAACTTGTTTGTTTCTTGGTTTTTCTTCTCATTAACACCAAAAGAAAAAAGAACTGGAGATTCAACTACGAGTGGCCCTTTCTTTCCATTTGGGTATTTGATTTCCATTGGAATACGTTTGTATTTGATCTTGCTATCTTTGACTTTGTAGTCTTTGGCTTCATTAAAGATAATATTATCTTGGGTAACATTTTCGAAACTGGACAACTGCATTTTATTAATATTTATTTAATCTTTAAGCGACAATTTATTTTGCTGACCAGAGTAGATTTACTGACCAATAATTGGCTGATTCAGGATTGGTATAGGTTAACTCCCCCTGTTTATTTCTAATCTTTTGTCGCTCCGGCAAGGTACCTGTCTCTTCGATCTTCATCTTTGTGAATAGTATAGTCTGGATATTTTGTTTGCCCAAAATGTATTTTCTTCCCACTTGAAAGTGTTGCCATATATTTGTTATTTTTTCTTGTTGAGTAATCAAGCGATTCAGCACCTAATTTTTTGGCACTTCTGGTTAGTCTTTTAAACTCTTTCCCAGTAACAAGATATTTTTCATCCGGTACATAATCTGGGTCCACATCATGCCTATATCCATCATCAACTATAAAATCCAGGTCTTCTTTTGTAGGAGTAGTTTCTCTCGATCTTGGTTCCATTTTATTATTTTGGTTATATTAATCTTATAACAAAAAATGTTATAAGATTTTACTAATTACTATCATCCATTTCATCACTATCATCCATTTCATTTATTCTTGATTCCAATTCAAGAATCCCTTCAACAAGTACTTGATCTTCAATAAATAAACCAAGATCATAAAACATCCCCCTAACAATTATTTTATCTTTTTTTATCATCAAATCAATAAAATACCAATCAACAATCTTAAGATTATCCTTTGTTGGATTAAGAAAATATTTAATTGCAAAACTTACTAGACTAAGCAAATAATCATAAATAATATTTTTTTCCGTCTTGATAATACCTTCAATATATTCCTTGAGTTTAACTGAATATGTTATATCATCATCCCCGCATGCCTCGTTAATCCCTCTTACAAATAGATATTCATTTCTGTACTCCTTTGCATATTGGGGGATCTTATTTTTATTTTCTGTCATTTTTCCGGTTAATTCCGTTTGAAGGGGGGTACTAAAGTGAGCCACAACGACCATTTTTATAACTAATTATTTTATTTATTTTCAATGTATAAAAATGAGTTTGAAACAAAGAAATATGGGAGAAGATGAAGAACGTCGATAGAGGTTCGGGCATCAGAAGTCAGTAGCAATCACTTACTCCCTGTTTCAGCCAACCGTTGCCCCTAGCCCTCACAGTTCCTTTAGTTGATCAGATGCAACTGTTCCTCCGGTCTGTAAGACTGCCAGTGTAACGAGGTTCATCTGCTGTAAGAGCAGCATGCAGTGTTCTCCTCGCTGCTAGCCTGCGAGCAAGCTCTTGGGGGGCGAGGCCTCCTTTCCTACCTCCGCCCCCAAGAGCGTGCTCGCAGGCTACTGACTGCGGTCAGTGCAAAGGGTGTTTTTGCACAAATTCTACCCATCCTCTTTACAACAACAAAGTGGTGTTGGATGAGCAACACATGTAGCAAATGCAGAGTAACGCAAATGCTGTATTTTTTAAACAAGAGTTTCAATCAAAGAAAGGCCAGTTCAACCCTCCTAGTATTCTTGGACAATCAAATCACTCAAAGTATTTAAGAAATTTAAAATTAGAATGAATTAAAGGATTTTTAAGAACAAAGAATATTTGTCTATTTCTCGATCGGTAATGAAGCTTCAATTGGTACTTGACTACTCGGAATGTGATTTTTAGAAAAAACTTCCAGTTGAATTGCATGAATTTATTTTGGACTTTTGGCAAGATTATAACTCTAAAATTGCCTTGCTAATAGCATATTCATAGTGTCGAAAAAAAGGATTCGATTTCTAGCAATGTAATTGCGCAATAATATTAACATCCTGCAATTGGAGACGGACTTCTCTGTTTGGAGGTGTTCCCACTCTTGGATCTTTAGGTGACTTTTAGTATGTTCATTTATAGCTTATTTATACTGATTAAAGATGAGAAAGCTTCTTTTGCACTTAGTGCCAGGTCCGATCACAAAAAGCCTTGACTAATACGACAAAGGGCTGATTTATTTGAGGACACTATTTCGGCTAAAAAAATTAACCTCCCTCAGGGCTAGAGCTACACTGAAAAAGAATACTTTAATGGGACATAAAATTCGAATTGAAACGTACATGAGAGGTTAATGATAAACTAAAAATGAGAACAATAGATTGCATGATAGATAAGTAAGTAATTACACAGTAAAGTACTAGTAGTAGGTATAAGTGTTCAGTTCAACATTCTTCCTTGCGATTTCAACCATCTGGAGAAAGAGTTTTGCCTCTTTTTATGAGGTAAGCTTCTCTTGCTTCACCGCGTGACATACTAAGTGTAGGTTGAAGTTCAAATGGAATAAGCCGTGTCTGTGATCGAGTGGCCGGGTTGATTGAAGTGCGAAGGAACTGCTGCTGTAGCGTTAGCGTGGATTGGATTGTTCTTTGCTTGTCTATTTTCTTTAAAACGTTCACGAAGCGTGCTTTTAGTAAAGTTATACAGAGCAAACCGCGATACAAGCTAAGGGTAAACATGGGTAAACAGGATATTCAGGGGCATACAGTGCACAATAATACTATGGTAAACATGAGTAAACAGTAACAGTAACAGTAAATCTTTATCGTGGCTTACTCTTCATAAGGAGGTATCGGTCGGTTTACGGTAAAGGTCGTTCACAATAAAGTAATGATAACGGCCACGGATATACAGTAATACTACGGTGTACATGGTTAACAAGAATATACAAGGGTATACAGAGATACTAGGGTGTACATGGGTAAATTTTTTTGCGTACTTTTTAAAATCGCTGCAAATTTTGCTTGAATTTTACAAGGAAAACATTAGGATTTCGCGGACATTTTATGCGATCTAGTGACGTAAAATGTGGTCAAATCTACAGACGTTGTATAGGGTTTATAAATGTCTGTAAGTGTCCACGTTTATAGACATTGCAATTTACAAGTAAGATTAGAGATTTTACGGAGATTTTACTAACTTTTGTGAAGCCTATAAATGGTTCAGGTTTTTCAGTGAACTTTCGAGGCTACCATGCTTTAAAATTTTGTAGTGATATGTTTTTATTTTTAACAAAATAGAACTTTTTACGAGTTACTTCACATTTTTATCGACCATAATTGAGAGNACGTTCATAGACATTGCAATTTACGAGTAAGATTAGAGATTTTACGGAGATTTTACTAACTTTTGTGAAGTCTATAAAATGGTTCAGGTTTTTCAGTGAACTTTCGAGGCTACCATGCTTTAAAATTTTGTAGTGATATGTTTTTATTTTTAACAAAATAGAACTTTTTACGAGTTACTTCACATTTTTATCGACCATAATTGAGAGAGAGAGAGAGAGAGAGAGTAACACATGCTAAAATTCGAAGCTGTCTGTTATCCACGTCAGTAAAGACTTAAAACATGTAGTAGTACTTGACTTTATTGTTGTTTTTTTCTCTAAAAAGTTCGGTGGGTTGTGCGATTTCCCGCCAATAAAACCCGTGTTGCATTTGGGTTGCAATACCTGTTGATTGAGTTATTTTACATTGGTATGCCTGTGGTGCGTACGGGCGCGCGTATTGTCACGTGACTACCAAAATTTCTCGGATGCATAGATAACCAAATTTTCTTACCCATGGTGCTCCGCTGCGCGCGCTTCGTGCGCTCGAGAGTTCCGCTTGTAATGATGTTAAATTCATTAACACCTTTGACGTCATAGCCTTCTGTCTTAATCTCATATATAAAAGGCGAAGGAATCTCATGAACATTACATGAAGTTCTACGTTTAGGTGGTTTAACCGGTTTGACAGGTTTTCTAGATATTCTTAGGTAGACAAATGTCTTGGTTTTCGATTGGTTGGCCAAAAATTAATCCGTTGGTTGATTTATGTCGTTGAAGGAATAAGCGCTTACTCACCTGTCACCGAAAATCACTGGGCTGTAACGTAATAATGAAAGTTCAATATCCTGCGCTTTCGATTTTCAACGTCCTTTGCAAACAAAAAAAAACAGTTCTCTTTCACTGACTCTTGGCGGGCAAATCAGGTTTTTGATAACGGTGAAGGCAAGCTGTCTCTTTTTAACGTGAAACACAATTTCTGGTTACCCCACTCCCTCGTATTATTCATGGGGTAAATAGAAAGGATATGACGTCATTGGTTTAAATGAGATTTAAAAACGAGATTCCACTTTATAAATGGATAATTTCATCCCTTCTATACTACTGGCTCTGTTTCATTTGCTCAATAATTATGAAACACTGTAACTAAAAGGCAAAAAATAAATGAATACATGGAAAATTAGCAACTTCCTATTGCCCCTCTAGCCCAAAATTATTACTCCCTAGCACATAGGGTTCTCGAAAGTATGGTTGCCGAGCGATTACCGCCACGAACTTCGCTCTGCAGTATTGATCCGGGACTCGAGTTATGTCACTGCAAAGAAACTTTGATACATGTTGTCACTCTCGGCCCCGATCTATAAATGGATAGACCGGCGTCATAACCCTTTGATGAACCATGCAGCATCCCACTTATCGAGAGTATAAGTATCACTCCTAGGGCCTATAATTTATACTACAGAAACCGTATCAAGCTGCTGTCACGAGGATCTCCTTAGTTGGTGTGCCTCTCTACCTTACTTTACAGTTTATTGCATATACAGTCGAAGCCTTTCTTTTGCAAGCGAGCACCTCGGAAATTCGAAAAAGTGGTCATAACTAGAGGTGGTCGTTTACGAGGATGATGGACCCTCGTAAGCCACCGCATGGTAAAACAATGTCGGGTAGTCGCTCACCAGACCCTCAGTGGTCGTTGTCACGCAGGGTAAGTGGTCGCTACGGAAATGACCTTGAAATTTAAAAAAAAAAACAATACTGTACTGTAGAAGATCTTTTTCAACGAACCATTAGTGCAGTTCCATTAAAGTGTTCATTTATACGAATAAGCCACTGAGTGGTTGCTTACGAGGGCTTAAAAACAAAGGAATTGTCCAAAAGTAGTCGCGGTCGCTTACGAGAGTTTTTATTACAAAGTTTAAGTCACAGTTCAAACAGGGTTTCACAAAGGTGGTCGTAACTAGAGCTGGTCGCTTACAAGAGTGGTAGCAAGGAGTTCTTCGACTGTAGTCCCTTTTCACATGAAGGTGTCTCAAACCAGTCCTGCGGGAGCTGAACGCGTTTCTTTAAACGATTTATTTTGCTGCCACAAATTAATTTGTATAAAAGTCGGCCACGCGAGTGAGAACGCTCGATATGCAACGCTGGGTCACTGAGATGGGAAATCTTTTTTAGTCTTCAAACGGTGGCATGGAGAGCAGCGAGGAGAAAATTGGTAAGGAAATCTTACTACTGCCTACCCATCCTTCAGTTCTTCAAGCACTTTGCGTAGGTTCGCTGAGAGATCCTCACAAAATAAAAGAGCCACAAAAACGTTTTCCTGAGTTTTTAATCTATTGCTTGTAAAAAGCTAACATATCAGTTAATTTGCAATTCATGTTCGTGCCCCGGGGCTTCAATAGTAGGGAGAGCTTTGAATTCCGCTTGGAAAAACCTTGTACGATCTGAAGGATGAATTGAATTATACAAGTGCTTTATGAACTGAGATTTCCCAAGTATTCTGATAACATGTCAGTTTAAAAACAAATAACACAGCGCTTTAAATACTAGATTTCATCCTGCTTTAGAAATCCTTGATTGTACTTGACGAGAAATATATCGCCCTTTAAAGACACATCTTCATTTGATACCATTATTTTCCTATTCCGAATTCGTTGGATTCCCAATCGAAGGCTACGTGAATGAAATGTCTTCATCTCGTGGTTTTCGTTTTCTTCTGTTCGTGAGTTAACAACAGTGCCTGTATTCATACTTTGAGGGTAAAGCATAGATGGGTTTCTACAGCAACAAGAGTACAGCACACGTTTGGCTCCATTGCGATAATCTCTGTTGAAGATTATGTATATGCATGGATTCAGCGCGCTAATAGCGTGAGAAAAATATTTAGAGATAAAAAAGACATCTCTAGGCGTTCCACAATTGTAAAATTCTTCGTTATAATACATAAGGAAAAATGTCACGTGGTATGGAAGCCAACAAAGTGCAAAGCAAACAACAATTGCAATGAACATTTTTAGTGCTTTTCGTCTGCTTCTTGAGTAAACTTGATTTGTTCTAGACGAGTGGTTCCCGGGAGCTCTTCTTCGCCATATCTTACAAATAACACAAATGTACAGGGTCGATATGACCACCAAAGGAAATAAGTAAAATAATACGAAAAGTATTATTGTGTAGTCATTGGACGATTTATCAGGATCAAATGGGGCAGGCCACTCCTCCACGCAATAACTCGTTCCCTCATCTTGAATCACATTGTTTGCTACAATCATTGGCGCGCTGGCAAAAATTGGTATAAGCCATGAGAACAATAAAATTATCTTGGAGATTCGCTGCGTCATGATCCTCTTGAGTGGAAAGCAAATCGCCAAAAATCGGTCAAGCGCGATTGCCAACAAACTAAGAATGGCGCAAAATGCACAAACCTCTTGACAGAAGGGTAGAAGTTTACATAAAACCACTCCCACATTACCAGCAAACCACTCGTCTGTGTTTCGTATTTCAACGACAAGCGTCTCGGGCATGTTAATAAGGGTGGTGAGGAGGTCTGCAATGGCCATATTAACCACAAAGGTGTATGCTATTTTACGCATATTCCTATTACGTTGAGTAACATATATTGTCAAAATATTCCCCACTAAGGACGTGGCTATTATTACCACAAGGGCTGTTATCTTGCCCGTCCTTTCGAGTGCAGTTCTTTCCTTAATAGGCGGACAACTATATATATCATCAGTAAACTGGTTATCTGCTTCTTCCGGATAGTTATCGTTGGTTACGTTGCTTATCGCGTTCTCCATGTTGTTTACTGTGCAGAGTGTCTGATCTAGGACAGGAAAGACACAATCTGTGAGAAACATATGGAGTGAAAATACTACTACGAGCTGCTTTCGTTGATTATATATAATTATTTCTTTAACCTTTAAGCCCTTTAGAAGATAATGAACCGTTCCAATTTAAACGCCCCCGAAGAAGTACTACTATGATAAAAAAAACGGCGCCCTGAGAAATCTTTTAGACCGCTCTTTTAATAAAATATAGTGTTTTGATTTTTGTGTGTGTTTTCAGCTGCTGCTTACAGAAGAACGTGTCATTTGCATGGTCTTCAACTTCCTCTCGTTAAATAAAAGATACTGTAAGTAAATATGGGTATCTGACATTAATAAAATATAGTGTTTTGATTTTTGTGTGTGTTTTCAGCTGCTGCTTACAGAAGAACGTGTCATTTGCATGGTCTTCAACTTCCTCTCGTTAAATAAAAGATACTGTAAGTAAATATGGGTATCTGACAGAAAATAGTCATGTCCTCCTCGATATTAAAGCATTTCGCAACAAAAAAATGAATCTTAAACTCTATATTTTCCTGAATCTGAAATAAGTGTAATAATTTGTTTATCGTGATCAACAATGAGCATTTTATATAAAATAAGGGCCTGACTTGGTGACAGAATGCTAAGGCCTTCATAATGGTATAAAGTCGTAATACTACTAAGTCTGGAGCTTATGTGTTTACAATGCTGTTGCCAGCACGGTCATCGTTATGCTTTTTTATTTACTTTTAAAAGTAACAATCTAAATTGTATGAACAGTTTTGAAAGCTCAAGAAGTCTCATTCACCCTCCCTACGAACTCCAATATGCTGTATCACAGACAACTCCAAAAGCAGCAATGTAATAAATCAAAAGTGTTCGAGATCGTAGCTATTATGAGAGAAGTGATGTCGAGTGATGGCTAATTAGCTCCGGAGCCAATTTTGAATGGTACAAATTATAGCCATCCTACTAATACGACAGTAAGTTATTTCCGAGAGCAGCAATCGTTTTAGTCCCCAAATGCCTAAAATGTTTTGTTTAAATAAACAGCCTATGCCGGATAAAACCCTTTTGTTTTTGGCTAATTCAGTTCAAAATGTTTCTAGTAAAGTCTTAAATCCTCAGTGTAAAATAATCCTTTTGTTATTGTTTTACGTAAGGGCGCCAATATATTCACATGCTAGCCTTGGCTGCCATTTTATTCAAGCCAAGTCTTCATAATACCATATCATACCTTTAGCCTACACAACTAAACAGATAGAAATTTCCAGAAAACGTTTCGTTGCTTGTCATAACAAGTGTTGTGACAACAAAATTGCAAGGGTTAAACGGTTTTCTTTTCCGTAAATGAAGTAAAACCGATTACGTAAACATGGCGCCGACGTGTCGAAGAGAGTATTCGAGCTTATTCGATCTTTTTAAATTAGCTTGTTGTTCTAGATCCACCTGCGGAACAGCAAAATAATTTTACAATTTACATTCACTTTTTTTCTTTTCGTTTTAAAATTTATCATTTTGTTATTGTTTTGATTTAGGGAGATAGTTACTTGAGGTGCATTTTGATATGTTTTATTAAGGCTATGTTATAATTTTAAGGACAGTGGTACATTTTCCTAAGTTTGGGTTGGGGGAAGGGAGAGACTGGGAGGTGCTGACTATGACATTGGCAACATGAGTAAGACTACTCTTCTCTTTGGAAGTCTTAGTTTGTTTTTTCGCTAGAAGCGTTGCCGTCCCTGCTGAAACAGCGAGCAAATCTTGCTCTAGTGCGGCGCAGAGAGCTGGTGTCAGCAACGACATTTCCAGGATTTATGTTTGCTAGACTTTTGGCCTTGTCTTTCTCTTTATACAACTGCCACCTCGAATAATGGTGGTAATGACAATTTCGCTTGTTTTTTAGAAGCATTGTTTTGTATTAAAGAGGCCAAAAGAACCTAATTATCGTAGAGACTTGCATGAAAGTCGGCTTGTTATAAGTTTGTCAATTAAACTCGTTCATTAAGCGAATGAATATTCGACTTTAACTGTAGACATTGGCAAAGGAAACAATTCTGAAAAGGTTTACTTTTTT